TCCCCAGACACGGAACGCAGACGCATCGCCAACCTTCCCGGTCCACAGCAAAGCTGGGTAGGTCTCCGGCATGGAGACCCCGGGCTGAAGGTTGATCTGATGCGACGCGTACCAAACCGCAAACGGCCACAGAAAATGGGGGGCAGCCGCATGCATCATGGACGTACGGGCGACGTCCATGACCATGCCAATGCGGCGCTCAGCAATCCCATTTTGCTGTGGAGAGTCCGGAAGCGTGAAGGTCTGGCGGATGCCTCGTGCACGAGAGTAGGCTTGCAGAAGGACAGAGTAGAACTCTCCGCCTCTGTCAGAGTGCAGACGCAGAACAGGAAAGTCCGAGCCGAAGCTCTGCCTGAGCTGGAGACGAGCTGCGCGGATCCAGACGATCAACACCTCAGTGACATCACCCTTGCTGCGCAAGGGGAAGACTGTGGTGTAACGCGAGTAGTCGTCAACCACCAGCAGGAAGTAGCGCTCGTGACCCTGTCCACAGACGCGGGCTAGGCCCCACACGTCCATATGAAGCGTCTGCAGCGGGGCCTCTGTCGGAGGAAACTGGGAGGAGTGAGGGGCAGCACGCTGCCGCCCCTCGATGCAGGGGACGCAGGCAGGGGCAGGCCCCGGGGGAAGGGGAGGGAGGGACCGGGGAAGACCAGAGACAAGGACACGGGAGGCCATGCCTCGGAGACGAGGCAGGGAGGGGTGACCAAGGCGGTGGTGCCAGAGGAGAGTCTCGTGAGACAGGAGGCGACACGAGCAGGGGGCAGACTCAGGACCAGACCTGGACGCTGCAGCAAACACCTGACCTGACGCAGCTACCTGACCAGACGCAGTGGTTAGTGTGTACAGGCTCGACCCCGGCCGATGTGTAAACGTGGCTAGGTGTCGGCCTGTCCGGGCGTCCGTGCAGTGGGTCACCCGCTAACTCGCAGGAGTAAACTGGTGAACCCCCGCATCCTGTAGGTCAGCACCACTCACCAAGTTCATAGAGAACGAGGGGAGGTAAAGACCAGAGAGGGTGCCAGAGGGGGCCGCCGGACACGGGAGGACAGTGGAGAAGTGAGCAAGGACAGGACCCCCAGAGGGGTCTGCCAGAGAGACAGCAACTGGCCGACCAAGCGGCGTGAGTGTGGTGCGGTCTCGAAAGAAGGAGCGAGAAGCCCCCGAGTCAAGGGTGAAGGTGTGGGAGGCCGAAGCCGACGCGGTACCTGAGAGAGCAGACTCACCAGCACCTGAGGAAGCAGACGCACTGGCACCTAGAGCAACACCCTCGCTAGCACCTAGAGCAGCAGCCTCACCAGTACCTAGAGCAGCAATCTCAATGCCCGGGTCGGGCGGAAAGCACCGGTAACAGTCACCCTCATCACTAATAGTCACAGCATACATGGCAGCAAGAATAGCATCAAAGTCAAGGTCAAAGATAGCTACTCCCGCCCTAGACAACTCGCCCCAGCGAGGGATCTCAGTGGCCTCAGGGAAATGGTGACGCCAAGCGTCCGTTAGGCGGCCAAAGCAGCGCTGGGTGGAGTGCACACCCCCGCACTGCTCACCCGCGCGGTCGCCGGTGCGTAGGACGTAGGTGCACGGACCAGTACCCTCACCCCGTTGGCGTGCAGTATACCACTCACGGAGCTGCTGAGGGGGGGGGATGTCACGAGTGCGCTGCTGCTGCTGGCGCTGACCACCACCGGAGCCGACCCTCTTCGCAGCGCCACCCCGACCAGCTCCGCCTCATCCGCCGCCGCCTCCTCCTCCGCCGCCACCTCCGCCACCTCCGCCCCCACCGCCACCGCCGCCTCCGCCTCCGCCTCCACTGCCGCCACCGACACCTCCACCCCCGCCACCACTTCCACCACCACCCCCACCCCCTCCACTGCCGCCACCGCCACCTCCACTGCCCCCGCCAGCCCCTCCAGCGCCCTTGCCCCCCTTGCCCTTGCCGGTGCAGCGTCTCCCGCTCGGGGCAGACGCCGCGCCGACCGACTCGAGACCAACGAGGTCGGCCGCAGCAGCAGAGGCAACAGAGGGCAAAAGGGGAGAGGGGGAACACCCCTCAAAGACGGGGGTGCGAGGGTCACCACGAGAGGCTCCTACAGCGACTATGCTCTTCTCTATCGCTAGGAGGGCCTTCTCGAGGAGGTCAACGGTGAGAGTGGTGGGGCAAACAGAGAGGAAGTGGTCCGTGACTACACGGAGAGAGTCAGGGAGCCGGGTGACTATGTAGTAGAGGGTGATGTACATGGGGGGGGGGGTTCTTGGCGCAGAAGTCAGTAGGAAGCGCACCGCGGTAGCGAGTGTCACTAGTGCGGAGGTGCGTTATGAGGTCAGTGATTGTGGGAAAGGCAGCAAGATCAGGGAAGAGGTACGGTAGCATGAGGCGGCTCAGTGCAGCAGTGGCAGGGGAGGAGTAGCGTGCAACTACAGCGTCGTACAAGGTCTGAGCACACTTGTACTGGCTAAAGTGCGCACGCTCAGAGGTAGGCAGGTGGCAACGCACAGCAAGACGTGCAGCAGCATCGCGTGTGGCCCACTGTGAGCGAACAGTGGCGTCAGCATCAGCAGCAGGGGCAGGAGAGGCACCAGAAGTGAGGTCAAAGAGGGAGAGACCGTCTGCCCTATCGCACTGTAGGAAAAGCTGTAGGTCATCTACCTAGACGTCAAAGTCAATGGCCCGACCCTCAGCGTCAAAAGCGAGGACACTAGGGGTAGCCATGACAGCAGTAGACTAGCAGTCCGAACAGTAGGGTAAGGGCAGTGCAGTGATAGAGGCGCTGCTCTTACCGGACAGGGCGGTCGGGCGGCTCGGCAGGAAATGCAGCTCGGCGACTCGGCGGGTCTGGCGGCTCGGGCGACTCGGCGGTACGGCGGCTCGGCAGCAACTGCGGCTCGGCGACTCGGCGGCTCTGGCGGCTCGGCGGCTCGGTGTACGGCGGCTCGGCAGCTCGGCGACCCGGCGGCTCGGGCGGCTCAGGTGGCGCGGCGGCTCGGGCGGCTCAGGTGGCTCGGGCGGCTCGGCAGTAGCTCGGCGGCGCCGACGGCTTCGGTGGTGACGGCGGGGCCGCGTGGGGACGGCGGCGGGACCGGTAGAGGCGGCGCCGGGGCGGGAAGGGTAGCGCCGGGGCCGCAGGGTAGGCGACGGGGCCGCAGGGTAGGCGACGGGGCCAGCAGAGGCGGCGTCGGGGCCGCAGGGTAGGTGACGGGGCCGGCAGAGGCGGCGCCGGGGCCGCAGGGTAGGCGACGGTGCCGCAGGGTAGGCGACGGGGCCAGCAGAGGCGGCGCCGGGGCCGTAGGGTAGGCGACGGGGCCAGCAGAGGCGGCGCCGGGGCCGCAGGGTAGGCGACGGGGCCAGCAGAGGCGGCGTCGGGGCCGCAGGGTAGGCGACGGGGCCGCAGGGTAGGCGACGGGGCCAGCAGAGGCGGCGCCGGGGCCGCAGGGTAGGCGACGGGGCCAGCAGAGGCGGCGCCGGGGCCGCAGGGTAGGCGACGGGGCCAGCAGAGGCGGCACCGGGGCCCCGCAGGGTAGCGCCGGGGCCGCAGGGTAGGCGACGGGGCCAGCAGAGGCGGCGCCGGGGCCCAGCAGGGTAGCGCCAGGGCCGCAGGGTAGGCGACGGGGCCAGCAGGGTAGGCGACGGGGCCAGCAGAGGCGGCGCCGGGGCCAGGAAGGGCGGCGCCGGGGCCGGGAAGGGCGGCGTCGGGGCCGCAGGGGTAGGCGACGGGGCCGCTAGGGCGGCTAGGAGAGGGGGTCGCGAGGGCGGCTTGAAAGGGCCGCGATGGCGGCGCGAACGGGCCGCGAGGGCGGCGTGACGCGACGGAGCCGCGAGGGCGGCGGATCGGGGCCGCGAGGGCGGCGCGACGTGTCGAAAGAGGGGAGCGCGACTCGGGAAGAGTAGAGCGCGCTCCGGGCAGGAAAAAAAAAAGGTGGTGGGCCGTAGGAACAGTTCCCACAGGGGAACTTGCTCGATACCATGAGAAAATGAACGAGAATGGATTGACTAAGGGAAAGTTGGGTACAAGTACAAAACCTAGAAAGTGGTACCCCATATGTGCTACCCCACTATAGCCTACAATAGCTATGTCATATAAATCTGACACATTTCAAAAACTCTGCACCCGTGTTTTTTTCCCAGTTAGTTGCACCCACGGTATGGGCACGCGAATCAACTTGCATTTAGGCGAGAATACGCCATAGTATGAATCTCAGGCGCAAAACAATCCATGCTGACCCGGTTTGTTCTTATTTCCTGGCCAGAAACAGACATAAACCCTAAACCCTGAACTAACAACAACACAGGCCCACCAGCACTGTTTTGGAAAAAAACAAACGAGTTACAACTTTTGTTTTTTAGAAGCACCTCAACACCCTTGCGAAATGAAACGAACTGGGCGAAATGTCCAAAACGTTTATAAGCCCATAGTACAACCCAAGTAGGGGGGACTCAAACGGGCATCAGGTGTACATGAGTACAGTAGCTAAGTGCGTGCGACTCTGACCGACCTGACCTGAGGCCACAAGGCAGTGCCGTAGCGGTGTTTGTGATTGGTGTACAGAGCCACAGGGCAGCGCCGATTTGTGGAAAGCCTCGGGACATAATCAAGCAGAACTGTCCACCATTTCTCTCCCTGGCCTGAATCAGATGTTTCCCTGTGCAGCACGAATGCGCATTGCTCATCTTGTATCCTCGCCTGAAGGGGGTTCACAATGACTCGGCAACCAAAAGCTGCGAGTGCACTTGAATGTGTTCTTTGCCTGTAACAAAAAAGAAATAACTGGCACAATCAGATGAGTTCAGCCTGAGTAGTCATGCCAAGGACTACCTGTGCTCCATTACATAGGAAGTTAGATGACTACATGGAATTCGCTTGAGATTGGCTTGGACTGGAAACTGAAGAATCTCACCATTATCACTTAGGGCACCGTCCAAATCGTCGTGGAATTAAGAGCGTGCGTCATTGTGAATGCTTTTCCAGAGTTGGCTAGATGTGGTGCCGGCATAATGTGCCTTAGATCTTCTGTCCAGCTGGAAGGTCGAAAGTGCTATAAGGCGTCACTCGGAATTGAACTTGATGCAGCTTGAGGTCTGGAGGTTATGGGATGGTTCGGAGTCATCCTAAGAGTCTTCTTGCTTAGGCGGCTTGAAGAGCTCCACAACTAAGTCGAGGGAGATATGGTTCCTTAATAGCACGATACACGCTTGTTTAAATAATGAAGCGGACATGAACAAATAAAAGCAATGAAATGAAGGACTAGAGTGAAATATTTATTGGGATGCAATGCAATCAAGGACACGTCCCCCATTGCAGTGCGTCGAAGGTCGATCACTCAGATTTTACTCAGCCCCTTGAAATAGCCGCATCAGATTCCATCCACCCATTGTGACACTCTCGAAGTTACCAATTCCACGTGTAACCAGCAGTCTTCGCAGCAGCCTCGGCGGTCTGAGCAGCAGACACAGCGGTGTTCATCCTGGACTTCATCGTCGCAGCAGAGCTATCCGCGCTCGTTTTCAGCGTAACAGCCTTGCTCTGCAAGATCTTCGCGTTCGAAACCGCCGCGGATTTGATCGGAATCGCCGCGCTTGCGTCGTTCACGTCGGTCGTCGCTTTCGTCACGGCCGCCGCCGCCGCCGCGTCCGCCTTCACCGCCGCATCCAGCGCTGCCTGCGCGTCGTCAACCGCCGACTGCTGCGCCGCAACCACGGCGTTCGCCGAGTCGGGGTTGTCCAGTGCATCCTGTCGCTTCGCCACCACCTGCTCTGCGCGATTCGCCTGTGAGATCATGTCGTCCAGAATCTGCTTCGCGAGCGCCAGCGCCGCATTCGCGTCGGTCAACGCGGTCTGAGCAGCCGCGGCTTCAGTGGGCGTCAGATCAGGGTTAGCAGCGTCCTTCGCCGCCTGCATGGCCGTCGACTGCGCGTCGTAGAGCTCCTCCTGCTGGCCCTCAACTTGTTGGGCCGTCATCTCGACGCGCTTCTTTGCGTCCTCAACGGCTGCTTTCAGATCCGCAAGGCTCGTGCCTGACGCTTTGGTTTTTTCCAGAATTGCCGTGGCTGCATCGAGCTTATCCTGCACAGCGGGGATGGCTGCAGCGGTTTTGTTCTTCGCCGTGATTTTTGTCGCGAGGACGGTCTTGAGGCGGTTCACGAGTGGTAACGCGTCGTTATAAGCGGCAGTTGCGTCGGCGAGAGCTTTGTTCGCAGCGAGAAGCTCCTGGGCGCGCTGCGCGGCGAGCGCGTCGGCTTTCTGGGAATCGGCGGTGGCGCTGATGGCGGCGGCGCGGGTCTGACGGGCCTTGGTTACCAGAAATGGCTCCGTCTGCCCCGAGGCGTGAAGCAGAGTCGCGGCGGCAACGAGGAGCACGAGGAGACCAGCTTTGGAATTCGCCATGGATAGAGTCTGGATAAAACTCGCTACGCAGTATGGTTAACTTCTAAAGATGGGCTGCGATCTGCTTGGTTACCAAGGATGGACGGCAGAGCGGGAAATGATTTGTTGCTAGAAGGAAAACGTGATTGCGATTGTCTCAATGAGATCAGGAAAAAAGCTTTTGTATATGGGAGGTGTACGGTCGCATGGCAGAATTTCGCACTCAACCCCACTAATTTCGCCCTCTCGAACCTCCGAGGAGCTGGCTCGTGCGCGCACAGATGCAAGTCGCTTGAGGTTGACATCAATTGCAACGCGGTCTGCTTATGGCGCGGCGCGGTCGGTGAGAGTAAGCCGCTGCCCCTCACATAGCCTGTTACATCACGAATGAAACGCGGCTATCTCGCGACTCTGGTAACCAGATACGCGAGCTCAAGGCGAAAGCTGAGATGCCAGAAGACGGAAATCTCGCCCTGCGAGCCAACAGGTACTGGCTTGATTGGCGGGGTGAGCTGACGAAATTGGATCAGTCTCGTACAGCTGTGCCGAAGTGTTGGGCTTGCTGGAAAGAACGGCGGGGCCGCACTTTAGCCAAGTGGGCCCGTGTGGACGCCTAGCACCTGCGACACCGTGTGTCAGCTTCTATTGAGGGCGGGGTTACTATCTTTCGGCGGGGTTATCGTTTCTATCGGGTACAATACACCGCAGGAGGTTTAAGAACAATTCGTGGTTTTCACCTCTTTGGACCATAACGCACCAGACTGAAAATCCATGATTACCAGTGAACAGATTAATACGCAAAACAAGCATGTGCTCACAAATGTAGTCACTGTAGGGAGTTTTCCTATTTATTTACTGAGTCACTATTACAACTCGAAGACCCGGCTCAGCCAGACAACCTAGCCTCCTGATTGTGAGGCAACCCGTGTAGCCTTCCGACTTAACGACCCCGGGCCCGGACCTGCACTCAACCGCATCTTCCAAGGTCCCCGTCTGGCTAGGTCCTTAGCTAGATCACTGCTGGTTTTTATGTTTGCTCAGCAGAAATATAATACTCACAATCATATAACATACCTATCAGAGTACAAAACAACATAAGCTATCTGACAATTAAGGGTTAATCACATTGAGAAAGCTTGCTTCTGTAGCAATTGGCATCGTTCTCATTACAATGGGTGGAAGCATTTGTCATACATATATGTGTATTAAGTTGTCTAGGCTATATAGGGGCTAGCCTTAGGGGGTATAGCTTTTGTTGGGAACAAACAATCTTAAGCGCCTCTGTCGTGTTGAAACACCAAGGCACAAGCGAAGCAGAGCATATCGAGGCACCAGCGAGTCAACCCTCGGAGTTGAAGTAACCGCTGGAGGTTACGCGAAAGTCAAAGGTCAGCGACCTTTGACTTGACAAATGCAGCGCGACAGCAAGGACACACAACTGACTCGAAATTGAGCAGTTGCCCGAGTCGCACTGTATCGAACCGCCAGTAAAACAGTTTAATTATATCTCTTCGTATTCTTTGTACTCTTATATAAACCTTTATACTTGCTTGTTTTAAACAACTTACTTTGCCCTCACATACCAGCGCAAGGTGGTTCAAGGACTTTCATTTAAACGCTTCCGCTACTACATCACTCTACTCAGAGTTTAACCCTACCAAAGATCCTAAGGGGCACTCAGCCCAACATGGTATGAGAGCTGGTTAGGGTTAAAAATATTTCTCCTTAACACCTAATACACCAAGAGACATGTCTACCAGAAAGGAGAGGAGCTCCTCCAACGGCTCTCCTGGTACTAATTCTACTCCACCTCCTGCCTCTGGCCTACAGACAGAGGAAGGCACAACAACGAGACCGACAGCTGGGTCTACTGAGACACCCGCAAACCAAGGCGCGGGCTTCGATCCAAGCATGATGGAGAAGTTCTTCTCCTTCATGTCCTTCTACGAGCAGCATCAGCAAGGAGCACCTGCGCAATCAAACAATAGCAACAACAACAACAACGTGACGCCCATGAGTCTCGATGGCTCATCCTACGTACGCGGGAATCAACAACTGCAACCTACCTTCGCTCCGTACGAGCCCCAGCGCGGCTCCGTCAGCTTCATGCCACAACCACAACCTGCACCGGGACAAGAGAGAACGCTGGACGCACTACAAGTTCAGTCGCAGTTCGCGCACGTTCTAAAACTGCAAACGACAAAACCCTTCGACGGGAAGGATTTCTTTACCTGGTCGTTCGAATTCGAGCTGATGATGGAAGGAGCGCAAATCCTTGGCTTCTTCGACGGGTCCCTGCCATACCCAACAAACGGCACACAGTATGAGAAGCAGCAGCACACCTATCAATCGATGATGGCGTACACGATACTACTGAGGAACATCACTCCAACTCAACAACAAAACATACGGTCTTACCGAGGCTACGGCAACTCCGCGGAGCTCGCGTACAATCACTTGAAGAGCCGGTATCAAGCAACAGACAGCGTAAACCAAAGTCGGTTAATGGCGCAGCTGACAACAATCGAAATGAAACCAGGCGAGAAGGGAATGGCGTATATCAGTCGCTGCCGCGAGCTGCGCGACAAGCTTCTTCGATGTGGAGGATCGATTTTAGAGGACGCCTTCGTCACGGTTGTCATCGGCGGTCTTGGTCCTCACTGGCGCTCCACTCGCGCCATACTACGAGCCCACGGGAAAATTTCTGAAGCAGCACTTTGCGCCGAAATCCACGCCGAGCAGCAAGACATGGACCTGCAAGAAGAACGACACAAGAGAAAGGTATCAGTGCCCGAATTCGCGTTTCACACTCAACGGCGCCACAACAACAACAACAATCGACCGAAAATCGTACCTCCGTTCTGCCACCTCTGCAAGACTTCAGGGCATCCTCGTACGCACTGCCCGAATCGACAACAGTCAACGTCGCCACAACGCCAACTTCGCCCTTCAAGCAGTCAAGTCGCCTCAACGCAAGCAAATGCGACAACTTCAATACAAGTCTCAACAACATCGACGGGACAACCTGCGAAAGGAACAAGAAACATCGTCAGCTGCATGGCAAGGCTGAGTGACTCCTGCGTAACTGAGTCACCACCATATTGTCAGAATGTTATCTTATGCTCTAGCCTGTAGTGGGGTGCTCTATAGCAAGTACAACCCTTCTAGGGTTTCCTATTTCTATCCCCATTCTTGCTAGTGCAGTCCTCTCCTCTCTTCTAAACTTTCACATGCTATCAGAGCAGGTCGATCCCCTTGGATCGATCCTGTGGGTGGACTTACCACCTCGTTGCTTCCGCTGCAACTCCTACTGCTACTGCTATCACTACTCTCTGTGCCGCACGCCCCGTGGCGTGCGGCAGTTTTTCATCCCGCCGTGCGCCCCGAGGCGCGCGGCGGGCTACTGCCCCGTCACGCCGCGCGCCGCTCCCGGGAGGCGCTGCGACGGGCGACGGGGACCTCCGTGTCGCCCCCCGTCGCGCGTCGTGGCCTGCGCACGGCCCGTACAGCCTGCGCGCGGCACGTACGGGCCGCGCCAGACCCGTCCGCGGCCCGTACGGGCCGCGCCAGGCCTACGCGCGACCCGTACGGGCGGCGCCAGGCCCGCGCGCGGCTCGGGCCGCCTGCGCGCGGCTCGGGCGACCCTACCTGCGGCCCTGGCCCCGGCCCCGCCGCCCTACCTGCGGCCCCGTCGTCCCGTCGCCCTACCTACGGCCCGGCTCCGTCGCCCTACCTACGGCACCGCCCCCCCCCCCCCCCCCCCCCCTTTTCCCCCCCCCCCCCCCCTTTTCCCGTCGCCTGTCGAGGCGACCTGAGGGGGCGGCGGGTGTGTAGTCTCCCCTGCTCCTCCTCCTCCTCTGTCTCCCACTGCTGCAGCTACCGCTGAGGGGGGTGGGTGTGTGGGATTCGACGGAGTGGTGCTAGGGGGTGGGGTGAGAGTGGAGCTAGGGGTGTAGCAGCGGGTGTGTGTCAGGGGGAGTGGGATCGTTTGGGGAAGCTGAATGGAGGTTGCCGTCGTGTCGCCAGCAGCACCTGTATTCCGGGGACTTCGTCCGGTAGCCCAGTCGTAGCCACCTGGGCCAGCCGCCCGTGGGTCTGTTGCTCGTCTGCCGCTACTTTAGCCGCGGGGCCAGTTACTCCAGTATTCCGGAGCGTTGTTCCGGTAGCCGCTGTGCCAGTGTGCCTCCTGTTGCCCGTGTGTCTGCAGCTTCATCCGTCGCCTCCTATCTCCTCTCCTCTCACTCTCTCTCCTCCTCCTCACTTGCCCGTTGTGACTACCACTAGCTTTGCTCATAATTGTGAACTTTAAACTATTGCTTCTTGAACTTGTGCTCAAAATGTGTAGTGACATTGTGATCCACCCTGAGCTTGTACTGCTTTGCCTGCTCTGCTGATTACACCCCACTTTGGCTATGGGGGTGTGTCAGAATGTTATCTTATGCTCTAGCCTGTAGTGGGGTGCTCTATAACGAGTACAACCCTTCTAGGGTTTCCTATTTGTATCCCCATTCTTGCTAGTGCAGTCCTCTCCTCTCTTCTAAACTTTCACACATATTACTCACCAGAAGAACAACTCGACAACAGCACGCCTCGCCGCGAGTCACTTCAACCAAGCCCGACGTACGCCACCATCGCTCAAAGCGAGCCGTCCAGGAAGGATACATGGTTCTTGGACAGTTGCTGCGGACAACATATGTGCTCTTCAGGACGTTTCGTTCAACGCGAGCACCAACTTCAATGAGAAGTCGTCATCACTGTCGCCAATAATCACAACCTGCGCACACGACGACAAGGAGTAGTGCAACTTCAGTCACGAGAGACGAATGTCATACTGCAAATGTCCAAAGTCCTAATAGCAGAAGGACTTGGCTACAACTTACTGAGCGTCAGACAGTTGATGGCGAAAGGCATACATCTGGAAGCCGACAGTACCACCCAGGAGTTCAAGCTGTACCACGGGAAGGGCGGCCTCTACATCGGAAAGGCGGTCCTGAAGAACCATGTCTTCGTTCTCGATTTCG